CGGTTATAGTGTCCCACAGTATGGCCAGACGCTAAGATTTTTTTTTTTTTTTTTTTTTTTGTTTTTGAGGCCTTGGATACAAAGGTTCTGGTTCTGGTTTAGAGTGATTTCCAAAGGAAAAGATGCAATTCTATACTTGCAGCAATATTGACTTGATTCCAATGAGCTTGGATCTGGTGAAGGTACCGTGTTGTGGTAGGAGTAGTGGTGTGCTGTGCTCACCTGGACAGGGTCCAAGCACCTCCGCGATGAACTCCGCAGATCCGAGTCTTGGCACTGTACCTGCCGGAATCGTCACATGCACACATCCACCACCATCCCATCACTTCCAATCTTACTGTACGACACCGCGCCAACGCCACATACCCAAGTGGGAGACGCGGTCGTTTGTGCTGAATTATACAACGCATGCGGCTGGGCTTGAGGACGTCACTCCAGCGAGCTACCCTTGCTGCTCTACAAACGACAGAGCAGTACGTTCCCGACAACCAATATTGTCTTAATTAGCACATCCTTCGCTGTCGCATGCCTCTAACAATATATGACTTGTAGACGATCCTTCAGCCATTCGTCTTGTCACTCTGTTAGACTAACGCGTCTTGCAAGGAAGACGCTCATCTCCACCCCTATCGAACGCAATCCATTGCGATCTGCCACCGCACCCAGACAACGCACCTTTTCCACGTGCGAAGACATTTCAGATCTTCTCGATTCCGACACAATGCCGGGTCCCAACTCAGTCACCTCAATCACATCGAGTGGAAAGCGTAAAAGAGATACAGCAGTGAAGTTTTATGCCGTCAAGGTCGGAAGGAAACCAGGTGTATATCAGTCCTGGCCAGAGGCCCACGCACAAGTCGACGGCTACGACAACCCGATCTGTGAGTAAAGTGGCAAGTTTTGAAAGGCTGTCACTGAGTCCGGGCAGTCAAAAAGTTTGACACCTACGCTGAAGCAGAAGCCATGGTTACAGGCGGCGCTGGTTCTGCATCCAAGTCCAGCAAGGGCAAGACCAAGTATTACGCGGTAGCTGTTGGACATGTGCCCGGCATATACACAGACTGGAGCGAGGTTCAAGCACAAATAAAAGGCGCGTCTGGAGTCAAGCACAAGGCGTTCGCTACGCACGCCGAAGCACAAGCCTATGTGGACGAGTTCAAACGAGATAAGAGCGCGGCCATTAGCTTACGGGGTGACCTTTCCGAGTCATCGCTAGCCACGGGCAAAACCACCAAGGACAGCGTGAACACAGCCAAGAAGGCAAGAAAGGAGAATGATGCACCCAATTCGAGCCTGACGAATGGCGACATTGTCTATGAGCCTGGCATGGGCCCTCTCCCTCCCGATGCAGAAGATGGCTTCGACCGCACCATCAAATTGGACGTCGAAACCGGACAGATCAGAGCCAAGACGGAAGAAGAACTCAACGCGACCACAAAGCAACCAACAGGCGACTTTACTGGCCCCATTATCGTCTACACGGACGGCAGCTCCCTTGGGAATGGCCGTACAGGTGCTGTAGCAGGTGTAGGCGTATACTTTGGGCCCCGTGACCCGCGCAACGTCTCCGAACCCCTACGCGGTGACCGACAAACCAACCAGCGTGCCGAGCTGACGGCGGTTGCGCGAGCACTCGACCACATACCCATTGACCGGTCGGCGGAAATCGTGACGGACAGTAACTACAGTATCAAATGCCTGACGGAGTGGTGCAACAAATGGATGGCCAACAACTGGCGCAATGCGGCGGGCAAACCAGTGGAGAACCGCGACCTCATTGAGCCTATCATTGGGCGGATACGAGAGCGGACTCTCTGCAAGGCAGAGACCAAGTTTCGGTGGATCAAGGGTCATGCGAATGACAAGGGCAACATGGCAGCGGATGAGTTGGCGGTGGCGGGCAGTCGGCTGAGTACGCCCGAGTTGAGGGGGAAGCGGGAGTTTAGTCTGACGCTGAACACGCCGACGAGGCTGCATGCGTTTGAGGAGAGTCAGGGGGATGAGCAGGATATTGAGGAGATTTTTGCAGTATTGGCGAGGGAGCAGGAGATGAAGGAGAAGGGCAAGGGCAAGGAGAAGGAGAAGGAGAAGGGTGGAGAGGGGTTGGGAAAGGGAGTTGGTGATGAGTTGACGGGTAGGACGGAAGGTTGAGAATGTTGTAGAGTGTATGGCGAGTAGCATATGACTTGGCTGGACTACAGATTTCCATTGAATGTTCTTGTAGATGTGGATGCATTCGCCTGTGACCATTTCCAACATGTCTCTTTTTTTTTTTTTTTTTTTTTTTATCTGAAGAAGATTTCCACAAGTCAAGTATGGTAGTTGAAAGGATCGTAGACTTGGGCCGGTGATGTTGTTGTATTGACATGTGAAAATATCCAATAGTACCGCGCTTGCTGCTTACCGGTACGGTAGGTTTGGAAACAAGCCGTTTGGCGGCTAGAGAACTGGACAGGGCCCGCGGGCACAGCAGAGTATTGTACAGTGAAGTATGCAAAGTAACGTACGCTTAGGTAACTACTTGTAAAGTACTCTAATGAAAGATCACATGTGGGCTTGGCCGGTGCCGATGACGGGCCGAAGACGGAAGAAGACAGTCATGCGGCGTGGGGGTTGTTGGTCCGAGAACAAATTTGCTTGCGTCATTCGTGCTGCAAGCATCCTACTCTACTGTTACTATACTAGTACTGTGGTACGGAGTACATCCTGACCAGGTATGCAATCCACGAAACGACAAATGCCAGGAAACCCAGGGCAGCACAAGGAAGTACTTGACTCTAGGCCAGACTGGCAGCATCGATCTGGGTTGTGGAAAGAAAAAAAGAACAGCCATCCCCCCCTCCAAAGAGCAACTCGGCAGCCATCTGTTCTTATATGACCAAGTTTTTTTCTTTTTCTTCTTCTTCTTCTTCTTCTTCTTCTTCTTCTTCTTCTCCTCCTCCTCCTCCTCCTTTAGTTTCTTCTTGCGTGACTAGTGGCCGTCGATGGTATCCCTGCCAGGGCCGGTGCCAGGACCAGTGACAGGACCAGGACCAGGACCAGGACTGAGCCACCCAGGCCGCCGATCCTCCGCCTCTTGCTCATCGCAGCATCAACGCCAACGCCACCAACTCCAACTCCAACTCCAACTCCAACACAATCACAATCACAATCCTCACCAGCAACAACAAGCCCAGACAACCACCCCCCCTCCTAGCCGCAACCGCCGCTCCAGCACCCACTCCGTCTACGCCCGGAACCTCCTCATGAGCAAACTCGCCCAGCCGGGACACGACCACGCCCACGAAGAAGCCCACGCCCAAGACAACGCCCAAGCCCAAGCCGCCTCTTCCGACCGCCCCTCACCCTCGTCATCCACGCCGACCTCAACCCCCCTTCTCACAGCCCAGCCCAAGAGCGTACAGGCCATCAAGGAGTCGTCGCAGCACCATGGCCAGCTCAAGCCCCTGCCGCTGAATGCCCATTGTCCAGGACACCTCCGCCATCCTCAACATGGCCACCACCACCAGCCCGTGGGCAAGGACGGCGTGGGCAGCGCCTTGAGCGACACCCCGCAGCCCTCGCAGCCCGGCAGCCCCCGAGAGTAGGCCTCACCAACCACGCGCGCGCCGCCTCTCTGCCCTGCACACGCTGACAGAGGCAGTAGCTTGACGCGCAACAGCTCCACCACATCGACGCCGCGCCTGCGCCCCACCACGCTCGACATCCCCGGCCTCACCAAATCAAAGGTCTCGCCCGACGGCAAGATTGCCCAGCGCGATGTCGGCTCCAAGCTGGTCATCGTCATGGTCGGCCTGCCCGCGCGCGGCAAATCCTACATCACCAAGAAGATGGCCCGCTATCTGAACTGGCTGCAGCATGACACCAAGATTTTCAACGTGGGCGAGAAGCGCAGGGTGGCTGCCAGTG